GGGAATATTTAAGTTCTACCCTCCTAGCAATTTTAATTATACAACATAGAGTTATCAACTATAATCACCATATTTTACATTAGATGCTCAGACCTTATTAATCTTAGAGCAGAAAGTTTGTGAATTTCACAAGCTTGAAACAGAATATACAATGTTTTCAAAGATTCTAAGAGTAATATATCTCTAAAAATTGTGTCAACTGGATGTTTTAATTGCTACTAAAAAAGGAAATGGAGCATGCACATTAAATGAGCTTCAAATGATGCAGTGGAATTATCACTAGCTGTCACTTCTGCCCATTAGACCTGCCCCAATAAATGTTATGAAAATGTGCAAATATCTTGCCTTCCTCTAAAGAATTCTTGGCTGTTAGAAAAACCCTCTGTACTCATCCCTACACACACAAGGTTGAGACATTCAGAACTGCTTAGACATAAGAAACTTCCTTAAAAAGAGGAGTAATACCTGAAATGCTATGAAAATGGAGAAGCTAACTTCTACATCTACCAACATATTCGCTTCATCTCTGTAACACCCATCTTACTAGTCTAATGCCTGGAACATAATAATTACTCATTTATATTTGAAGTGTTCAATAAAGTGAGTGAATACATTAATAAATAAATCCAGGGGAAAGAACAAGACTTTATTATGTGGAGAATCAAGTTCACAGGAAGAAACAGATAAATCTCTTGCCCCAGAGTGTTGAATTAGGTGGCACTTTTGATTTAGAAAGAGTAGAGACCAGGGGAGCAAGCACTCGATCTATAGTTGGATTGTAACAAATGTAACGGTGGGTAAAATGGAATAGTCCCACTTCTGATTATTCTTCAGTGAAAGCTGAAGTAACTCTTCCTTCTTCTGGTAATTTTTGTTTTCTTCTTCATTAATACAACATAATTTCTTATTTAGACATAACATTTCCTGTATTTCTCCCACTCTGCATTTTTTCCTGCAGTAGCCTGCTACATTACCATAGCATTTTTGGAGTTGTGTGGCATCTGTGAACAGGAAACAACATTAAACCAAGATAAGCTGCTGAGGCAGAGTGAAAGAGGTATGTGGTTTCCCGCAAGCTATAGCCTCCCATGGTCCCAAAGTGAACCTCATCATACTGATACAAGAAAACTCAGAGCCTCCTCCTTGAAAATCACCCCAAATTAAAGACATCCAAACTCCCAGCTCCTAGCCAATACTCAATTGGCTCTGAGAACATTAGAACTTATGTGACAATAGAGAAGAGAGAACACAATTTATGGTTATTGACTGAAGCTAGTCCCACCCCTAGGACCCCGACAAATCCGACTCTTTCATTCTCCAAAGTCAGCACTACGCCAGTTCAGTGTCTCTAGAGAGTACCAACTTGTCGCCATGGTACAATTCAGAGCCAAGTTAACTTTTAAAAGAATATCAAAGATACGACTTTTTAAGTCAACAGTATAACTGGGTATCACGCTTATTCATGTGGGCAGCAGAAATCTCCCTCTGCCAAGACCGCATAGGTCTCAGCAATAAATACCATTGAAAACGCCTTCCCTTGTTTAGCGTCTATGGCTTCTCCATAACATGCTTGCTCACGCTCTCTCTCTCTCCATCTCTCTCTCTCTCTCCCCCTTTCGATCTCAGATAAATGTGTTACCCAGGGATCAAATTCAATTCCATGTATACCGGTCTCCCTAGAGATCCAAACTGTCACCTATTCAAACATTGCACTGAGATCCTAAATCCCCTGTTTCCAGATCTTTATTTGCCCCTGTACACAAATTTGGACAAGCATGTAATAAAGATGAAGAACAAAGACACGGTTCTCCCCACCCTAAATTTCAGAACCAGGGAGCATCTCTGAAGATAAGAAAGGTCTTTTTAGAGCCACAAAAAGGCCAGATGCCTTCCTACAGCAGCAAGGGAGAACATGGTACTTCATATCTATAAGATCATGAAATACAATTATTACGAAACAGAGTCATTATACTCACTTAACCGGTGAGAAAACTGAGATTCAAAGTGAGTATTCACTCAATTCATACAACAGTCAATGGTGAAGACATATTCTACCTCATAGCTACATGACTCCAAAGCTTGTGCTGTTCTCATTGCTGTTGTAGTATGGGCTGAACATGAACTTGGATAGAAAAAGAGATGGCAAGGCTCCTAGGTGAAAGCTTTGTTTTACATTATAAAGATAATTCTAGACGATGAGCTCATTCCTACCTTGGGAGAGGATTCTAAAAGTATGACCCTGATCTCGTTACCTCTCTAGATGTTCTCTTCTAAGACACAGACTCAAGTCAGGAACCCAGGACAGTGGGTACTTTTGATCATACTGGCAAGATACCAATAATTTTAAAGCCCTGACCCCACTCCTATGGAAAATAATATCTCCTAGGATATCATGGTACATTTGGACAAGTTACCTGTGGGCACCTCAAACAGCAAAATAATGAGAACCAGAAACAGCTTCATGTTTACAGACTTCCCAAGAGAAATAGGCAGCAGGACCTCTTTGTTCAGTGATCTGTGTCACACAGGGTCTTTCAAGATGAGCCAGAGTTTTGGGTGCTATCAGCTTTCTGAGCTCTCATTTTAACCCACATGGATTAACAGGAAATCCAAGCCCACCCCCACCTACATTCCCAAATATGGAGTTCTCAGTCACAGAACGTTCCATCACATCACACCCACTTCTCCTTCCTCGGGATGTGAGCTCCCAGAGAGCAGGAACAATGAGTTCTTCACCTGGGCCATCAGCTCATTTGGGTCAAAGTTGGTTGGTCCTATGTCTGGTTCATGTGGGACATTCCTAGTTTATTCCTATTGTTCCAATGTCCCATCCAGCTAGTGCCACCTTTCACTCATAAAAGTAACCAGGTTTAGAAGATTAATAAAATCATTAACTAATCAAGGTAGATGCATAAGCACATCCAATAATAATTTTTAATGTATGAAATGTCCAGAAAATCACCTAGGAATAAGATTGCTTTTAGCGCCCTGGCCAGTGTGGCTTAGTGGTAGAGTGTTGGCTTGGGCATGTGCAGGAGACAACCAATTGATATGTCTCTCTCTCTCCCTCTGTCTCTCTCTCTCCCTCCTCCCTCCTTTCCACTCTCTCTAAAAATCAATGTAAAAATATCCTCAGATGAGGATTAACAAACAAAAAACAAAACAAAAAAAGAGATTGCTTTTAGCTTTGGTTAGTTAAATTAATATTATTTCAGAATTTCCCATGAAGTTTTGCCCATTCAGTACAACTCAATCCTACAACTGAAGCCTTTAATAAGGTCACATTTCTTTAGCACAGTGTTCAACTCGTGAACTGCTGGTAACTGCTCACCTCTCCCAGGCCATTTTATGGAACCACTTATGTTTCTGCCAAATTAGTGCCTGTGCCCCTACCCAACTTGTGACTTACATAACCTTTTTCTTTGCACATTTAAATCCCTCTTCACACATTATGTTATGCTCACCCATCCCATCCACCTAACTGGCCCTGTTGAGCTCCTAATTTTCCTTCAAAACCAAGCTCAATCACCTCCATATCTGTGAAAGTTTCCCTGAAAATTCCCTTCTTTCTGTTACCACTGTATCTTGTACATATTTTTGTTGGTGGTCACACCATGTCATGTTCCAAATATTTGTTTATTTGGAATAATCTATGAGCCCCTCAAGGCAGGCCACTGGTTTTTTTCAGTTTGGAGTTCTTCGTGCACAACACAAAACTCGTGCTATATCCGTAATATATAATTACAAAATTCACTGAACAAATTACTGCTAAATAAAATACCCCAAGACAGTAATTAAGTTAATTAAAATGTAGCCTAAAGAATTCTATCTCCCACATTTTACAATTTCTGGACACCAGAACGTTGAATTTGGAGTAATCAGGTCCCATCCAAATTTTCTGTGACAGCACCTGGAAGGAAATGGAATTTGGGAAGGCTGGCTAAATACTTGTTGATTGAACTCATATCACAACATACAGCTGGGGTTAGGGTTAGGGTTAGGGTTAGGAATGAGTTTTCCAGTAACCAGAGTGAATTAAGTTTGCCAAGGAGAAGGGGTATGACATGCTGCTGATATATCAAGATGAGGAATGAGATTTGGCCAGTGGCCCCCCCAGACATGCACTAGCCCCCCGGGTATCCCACTTGGTCTCAGCTCATTTCTCAGCTCCGTGGCCTCTTAATGTGTACCTACTAGACGACAAATGCATTACATATTTTTACATTTATAGTACTTAAATCCTCACAAAAGCACTATGAAGTAGAAATTAATACCACTCTTTTTCAAATTGGAAAACCACAATTTAAGGAACCGGTCATGTGCCCAATGTAAAGAATGAACTAGGATCAACACAGGTTCACATGAACCGAAAAGTAAAGGCCTTAACCACTGCACAATCTGCCTCTTCAGCTGCCTTCTTCGGGTCAATCTTTGGGAGACGGATGACAATATATTTAAATACATGATTTTGTTTTGCTCACAAAATTTTTTATTGGTCATCAACTTGGCTGGACATCTTCCCCCACCCACCTGCTTACAGCCTACTCACCACTCAGAGAGCAACCTATATTGAGAAAGCAACCTGTATTGACAGAATTCATATTTCTGATTTCCACAGATGACATTATTACATCCTGGAAGTCATATTGCCTGCCTACTTCAATAGATTCCTAAGTGTGATTGTTTATGTTTATCTGTGTCAACTCCAAGAGCCTTTATGCAGTCTTGACTAGGTACAAGTAAGCACTCAATGTTCTCATTTTCAAAGCCCTCCTTGACTAAGCAATAGATTTCCGCTTGAGTAGGCTGGGATGGATAATAAAATGTTGCTTTTTAGCCATGGTCACTTAAAAAAAAAATCACCCATGCACCTCCCACTGTGGTCCATAATACAAACAAGTTCTAATAGCTTACTTATAAATGAACTTTAAATGTTTCATTCTTAGAAATATTCTCTGAATTCTATTAAATATTCTCTGAATTCTAATTAAGATGTTATCTTTCCAGACTGTTGGACAGGCTGAATCTAGGCAAGAGGTAGGATTATTAATTCCCTTTTACAAAGACTGCGGATCAAGGCAAGATTCTTTTGTTGTTCTTTGTTTTGGGAATGAGAGACAGTTGAATTAACATTTCTAGCTAGAAAAAAATCAGACGCACAGATAAACAAAAATGAGAAAATAGAAACCACTCATAGTCTCACCTCCCTCTGTTAACATTTTGGTGTGTAGCCTTCTAAATATTCTGCTCTAAAAATAATTTATTTTGGAAATCGGGTAAGAGGTAAGATAAAGCAAAGTGAGCTTACTTGCTTTTCAAAGTACACTCAGTTTAAAATAAAGTCTGTTAGTCAACAAACACTCCCTGAGCATACACACTCATACACACACAGTCTGTGCTCATCCCTCCAATTCAAGAAAGAGGCCTACTGGCAAAACAAGCCCGTACCAATGCAGAGGAGCCCCGTATCAGCTGCATTTATTGACCTTCCTTTATGCCTAAATACATATACCACCAGGTAGTTTCAGGAAAATAAGCAATATAAAAGAGAAGAACTTAAATGAGCAATAGGAATAAGTGACCTCAAAGGAAATAAGATAATACTGACAAGAAGAAAATTATTAAATTTTATAAAAGTGACAGATTTGACTATACAAAATGCACATCTTCTTAACAAAATTCATGCAGAAGGTGCGAACCAGTATACGATTAAAAGACAAAGTACAATAAAATTTGAAAATGCATTATATACCATTAAAAAATCGATATCCATGATATATAATGTTTACAAATTAGTAAGAAAATGAAAGATGAGGGAGAGAGAAACAAGATGGCGTAGGTAACAGCTGCACCCGCCGCCGCCCGCAACCACATCAAAATTACAACTAAAATACAGAACAACCATCCCTCAGAGCCTCCTGAAATCTGGCNCCGCCGCCTCCCGCAACCACATCAAAATTACAACTAAAATACAGAACAACCATCCCTCAGAGCCTCCTGAAATCTGGCTGAACAGAAGCCCTATAACCAGGGAACTAAAGCAGCACCGAGACCAGTAGGAGGGGCGCAGACGCGGGAGGATCAGGGTTGAATCCTGGAGACGGGGCAGCGGGCCTATACCGGGGGCCCCGGTTGAAACCTGGGAGGGAATCTCGGTGGTGGGGGTTTCCCGGAGGAGGGAGGGGTCCCAGCCCCACAGCAGGCCCCCAGCCCAGGGCTCCAGGGCCGGGAAGAGACGTCCCCACAACTCCAGGCTGTGAAACCAGCGGGGACTGTCCCTGAGGGTCGCAGAGGCTGCGGGAGCCCCAGCAGCTCCTCTAAAGGGCCCGGCACGGACTCACTCGGACGCTCCCTCTGAGCCCAGCGCCGGGCAGCAGCTTGAAAGGACCTGGGACACTCAGGGAGGAACTAACCTGCCTGAAGTCGGAGCGAGAGGCGGAGGGCCGGCGGCTTCCTCCCAGGCAGAAGAGCTGGCGGAGGCCGTTGCTCCTGTGGCGAGTCCTCCTGGCACACAGCCCGCAGGCAGGCGCCATATTTTGAGTCGCCAGCACCTGACTCACACCTTTGGCCCCGCCCCATGATTCCCGGAGGCCCCGCCCCTCCCTACTTGCAGGCTCATCCAAGCCATTTCCAGGGGTTTTTCTGTGCAAGTGGCCTCTCGAGCCTCATGCTTAGGATTTCCTAAAATCTCTCAAACAAGCAGCAGAGGGCCCCATACGGCTTGATAAGTGGCCCCAGGCCTGGCACTAGCGGCAGCTGCATTGGCTCATAG